TTTACCAAATTATCCTCATTTAATTAATAATTTTAATTCTTAATGTTTGGATTAACCAATGACATTTTCTTGTATTTTGAATGTTTCACCATTCTCTACCTTTTACTTTATATATATAGATTAACTTATTGGTCAGACATGTACAGTAGGTTTGTTAATAGGATTTTAATTGGCTGGGATGGGGATGTCGAGTGGGCTGGGCGGTATTATTTTAGTCTTTAAAAAAAAAACTCACTTAGGCTACAGTCCAGGTTAGCCTGGGTGTAGGATCGTGCATGGTCCCTAGAACCAAGTTCAAGTGTTGAAATATGGAGTCTACATTTTGGGTCCATGTTCATATTATTACATGGTGGAAACTGAAGCTTACAGGAGCGTGGTGTAATTGTATGGACCAAAATACCAACTAACAAATAAATTTACATTTCTGACAAAAATAAAAATAAAAAACTAAAAAATTTACATAAGAAATGCACATAAAATAATGGTGGTTAAGAGCTTCTAGCGGAGATTTTGGCGTTAAATTTATGGTATGTTTACTAATCCGTAATTGGATTAGGAGGAATTGAATTGAGGATGAGTTGGATTGAGGAGAATTAGATTCCGGATTCCTAATGAAGTTGTATACTAAACCATATAGATTGAGGGGAGTTAGATTCTGGATTCATATTGAAGTTGTTTACTAAACCATATGGAATTGGGGTAGAAGTGGTGCTAATTACTAAAATATCTTCATTGTTGGGTTAAAGTAAATGACAAATTTGGAATTTTTAAAATTGTGTGAGGATATAATGGTTAAAAAAGATGAATTTCTAATAGGTTAGTTATTCATGAATTAGAATGCCACCTCCCACCCAAGAATTGAATTCCTCCAAAACCAGGAATTCAAATCCTAATTTTGTGTGACCCCCACTTTTTTTTTAATTCCTTGATTTGAAGTAAAGACAAGAATCCTCCATAAGTGAAATTCAATTCATGATGAGAATTCTAATTCATAATTAGTTAGAGTAACTTTTTATAAAACAAGCAGCCAATGTACATGAAATATGTGTCCAGCATTTTAGTGCTTGGCAGTTCATTGTCACTTCGTTCGACTCCATTGAAGATTGAAATGCATAATCTATTTGTTTGTTGACCCCAACCAAAAAATTAATAATACCTAACTGTTTGACCTTTTTTAAAGAAATCAGCTCCTCAAGAACAAATGAATCGCATTCATGTTACAATCAGATGAATAAATTTGCTTTATTATAACAAGTGCTATCAAATGTCATGTTAAACATATATCTATAAAAATCATTATTAATTATAAACGTGACCTACTTCTTATTCATTCTTACTTTTACTGGTTTTTTTTTTTATATTGTTAATAAGTGTTGGAGTCTTCGAAATTAAAATGGCTTTTAAATTAGAAAGAACGAAAAATAAAAGGAGTACAAGTGATTGGGTGAAGGGAGTTTACATAAATATTTGTTGGGTGTCGAGGGTTTTAAACCTCTACCCACATGGATGAAGGTGGAAGAGTTCAACCAATTGAGCTATATCCCATTAAAAAGAAGGATACTTGAGAAGCAAGAGGAAAGGCAGCTCAACAACCTCTTAACACCACAAAGAGTGTCCTTTCACCTTCAAGTCACCGATAAATTCCGCAGCCAAGAAAGAAATAGCTCCTAATTCAAACTCGGAAAGAGTTGACCAACAAAGACTAGCAAGCATTACCCTTTAAAAGAAACCTATCGTCACTTTTTTTAGGAAATTAATTTATCACCGTTAAGAAATATAAAATATGAAAATTTCCATTATTAAGAAAGTTCCTTTCGAATTTATTCTAATTGTACTGATGCTCATTTAATTGCAACCATATATCCACGAATAAAATTGCATCAACTAATTTCATTAAATATCTAAACTTTGATTGATAAATTTATAGCAAAGTTATATTGAATATTTTGTAGCATTTGGAGGAGACGCAAATACGATAACGAGAACCTTCGTTTACATCCAATATATATGAAACAAAAATCCGATGAATAAAATGTAGATGATTTTTTCCCAAGACATTCTACGTGGAAAATTCACTAGTCAGCATCTCACATGCTTTCTTTTTTAGGCCATCACCTGTCACACATATCCTAAAAATATACTATTATCAAAATATATTGTGCTAGAACCATGAGATGTGGTGTGGTGGTAGCTTACCTCATTCCTTAACCATGAGGTTGGGGGTTCGATCCCTGCCCATGGGAATGGAGCGCATTTCGTGGCCAGCCGTTTACCTCCATTGGCAGAGCTCCCGCGGCGAAAGGGATTAGTCACTGCTGTCGGCGGTGGATACCCTTGGGTCTCACCTAAAAAAAATTATATTGTGCTAGTGATTTTCATTGGCATCTTGTTGTTTTGTTGTCCTTGGAATTTTTGGTGAAGAAGAAGTAGCAGTGCATTGGTGGTTTCATTGGCGGATTTGGAGACATACTAGGTGGTTTAATTATTTCTTATGTGATTACTGTTTCTTGAGTTGTAATAATTGTATAAACTGAGACATACTAGGTGGTTTAATTATTTCTTATGTGATTACTGTTTCTTGAGTTGTAATAATTGTATAAACTCTTTGTAAGTGTTTGTTTGTAGTTTAACGGCTTTTGTGTCAAAATTTCTTTGGCCTTATGTGGCTAATAGTGGAAATACACTTTGTGGGCTTGATATTTCTAGTGTGTTTCTATGTATACGGATTAACCTTACGTGGTTATCATGTTTCTATCTTTACATTAATCCTTATGGGTATTTATATTGTCTCTTATGATCTTTGTACATAATTTATGAATATAATTATCATTTTTCTCGCAAAAATATATTATTATCAAACGAACTTTCAACTATAATTAAGAATTCAACTTCCATCTATATAGAAAAAAATGGACATTGACTGACTCCTAATTTAGTGATTCTCATACTTTTATTTTTAATATTGAAAAATATTTCAAATTAGAATCTCCTTAATAATAAAATTTAAAGCATATAATTATACACACAATATGTTTCTGCCATCTATTAAAGAAAACAGATTTTTGTATAAATGTCACTTGAACTTATATCTCAATTTCAAATTGTCACCATAAAGAAAAATTTAAGAGAAATGTTATCTTAATTTTTCAAAATCCATGATTTGTCATATGACTTTAACACCATTCATTTTCAAGGGGCCCCTTCCTCCATTCCCCCCTCCCCCTCATCCCTCCTCCTTCTCTCTTTACTATGGAACACCTACCCTCCGTACACAAAATTTGTGGAGAGAGAGAAACAGAGGGGAGGGGGGGATGTCATGTGTGATGTGTTTTGGGGATGGCTGGGGGTGTTGGGGTGGGGGAGAAAGGGAGATAGAGGTCTCTTTTCTCTCTCTTTGTTTTCATTGAAAATGGAAAGACTAAAAGACCCTTAAAATGGATGGAAAATTGAATGGTGTTAAAGTCAAATGAGAAATTATGGATTTTGAAAAATTAAGGTGACATTACTCTGAAACCATGGTATAAGTTTAGGTGACATTTTTACAAAAATCCCTAAAGAAAATGTTAAAAAATAGAGGGTTAATAAAAATAGAGGCAAGGAATGTGCTACTATTTTTGTTACATTTCACACCCACACCACATCCACAGTTTTATAAAAGGAGAGATAATAAGTAAAAGATTATCAATAAATTGCTAATCATCTAACATATACCTTATTTATTAAATAAAATTATGAAGTAGCTAAAAGTTTTATAAAAAAAGAAAATAAGGGAAAAAAAAGAATTTCCACTAATAAAGGTAGCGGCATTAAGTTCTTCGGATTAGCTCAAGTAGTGATGGTGGTATGCAATTGAGTTATGATTTTACTAAGTAAGGCTTCTATTCCCTTCATATGTAAACAAAAGAAAATTAGGGGCACTAGCCTTTTAAATTGACCACATTTAGGAACTAAAGTGAGAAAAGAGAGAAAACCCTAAGGTGATAAAAGTTCTAGCCGTTGCCCTCTTGGGGTCGGTGGCCTCTATCCCTCTACTACTATCCTTCCCTCACAGACGTTCCCTCCCTTTTCCTTCGTTTCCCTCTACCCCCTCTCCTCCTTTGGGCTTTTATTAGTTTTGGTTGGATTTTGGTGTTTTGTTGTCTTGGGATGACGTGGTGGCAGATCGACGTTTATTTTTTTGTTTTGTGTTTCAATTTTTTGAGTTGCAATAAATGCATCAACTTTTTTGAACTTCTTGTGTGTTTTTAGTCTTACTTGTAGATTTTACTAGTAAGAGTTTAAAGGTTATAGTTGCAGTTGTAGTTTTGTGCGTTGAGGTCTTTGCATGGATTTTCCAGGCTTGTGGCTTTCATGCCATAATTTCTTTGGCCATGTGTAGCTATGAGTGGAAGGTACACCTTGTGGTGTTCATTGTTGCCCGTGGATTCCTCCATATTTGGATGAACTATTTTATGATTATCGTGCTTATGTATTTGTATTAACATTGGTTACTTATATTTGTATTGGCCTTCATGATTGAAGACCTTTAGGCATGAATTATGAATACAATTTATTGTATTTCTCTCAAAACAAAAGATATGTATACCATTATTTTTGCAAAGTTGATTAATAAAATATCAATTGATATTAACACTCACCATCAATGCATTTTTTTTCGCATTGTAATTACATGAATATATCTCTAATAAAAAAACTAAAAATTCCCTGTATTTTAATCTTATAAATCTCCTAAACATACTAAAAGATATCAAAATCAATTTCATAGCATGCTCAAGTACACTGAACTAGCTCATAATCAATTTCAATGAGATCAAAACAGAAGGGGCAAAACATACCAAGTTAAATTCTTTGTACACATGTTTAAAGCGTTGAACAAAAATTCAAGGTGGGCCCCACATGCGATCACCTTTCCTGGGTGCCCACTCACCACGTGGTGCTCGAGATGAGAGAATCAAAACTCACAAGAGCCGCGTTTGACGCCTTCTGTATGAGAAAGAGAAAAAGGTACCCGGCTTGCCTTTGCCCACCCAAACAACGACCCCTTTCCTCTCAATTTCCCCTCTCTCTCTCTCTCTTCCTTCCACTTCCACCCAATACCAAGTGTTCGCCTTTCCACAGCTCCGTGTGTCGTCGGTCCTCCTCACTTTTTCTTCTTCCTCCAAGCCCCATACCCATATCATAAATAAACCCAAGGTTTAAAAAACAAAAGTCTGTTGCGCAACGCAACCCGAAACCCGACCCAATGCTCTGTCACATCCTCGCCCGGTCCTCCATTTCCATGTGCGCTGCTTCTGTAGCCACTTCTCATAATTGCAGCTCAAACACCTAGGGTTTTCAATCTCTCTCCTCCAATCCCCTTTACCATTCAATTTTATTACTTCAATTGTAGCTCATGGAGCTCCAGAAAGCTCAGCTCTCCTCCACCTTCTACAGAACTAGTCTAGAGGAAGATGGAGGAGGAGGAGGAGGAGGAGAACAGGCCTTTGACCGGTCGCTGCCGGCCGCGGAGGACCGCATGAGTGTTGATCAATGCGAAGCGATCGGGGACCTGGATGATTCGCAGCTCGTCGGAGCTCCCCAGACGGTCGCCGGCGGCGGCATGGTTGCTGGTAGGGTGGGGCAGGGGATGGCGGACGTGGCGGTCAAAGTGGCGGCGGAGAAGAGCTTAGGGAAACGGAGGCGGGGTCGGCCGCCGAGTGGGCACGTCAGAGCGGCCCCGGTGAGGAAGCAGAACGAAGAAGAGGACGTTTGCTTCATTTGCTTCGATGGTGGAAGCCTCGTGCTTTGTGACCGCAGGTCAGAGTCTGGTTTTTCCGCAGTCTTAGTCAATTGAGTCCAATTATGATTAGTCCTTGCTAGAAAAATCCGAACTTTTACTTAATTTAGCTGTTGTGGGTTAGTTCATTTCCTTATTGGCAATCAAATGGATATTTCATTTTGCGAATGTTTGTTGGTGCTCATTTGCATTGCTTAATTCAATGCTTCTTTGTGGATTGTTACTCGTTAGGGGCTGTCCTAAGGCATACCATCCATCGTGCATCAAGCGGGACGAATCTTTCTTTAAATCAAAGGCCAAATGGAATTGTGGTACGTTGCACTGCATTAATAGCTTGTTCATTTTTCACCAATTTTTGTTTAGTTCTGTAGGCACTCTAGAAATGAGCCATGGGTTTTAATTTTAACTTTTAAATAGTATTCATGGCAGTTTTTGTGAACAGAAAGTTAAGCATCAGGTTGTGAAGGGGTCATTTTTTAGTTAGGGTTGGGCGTAAATTTTATTATCCTGTTATTTATTATCCTTTTAGCGTTAAGTTTTCATCCCTTGGTTGTTTAATTTGTTCACAATTTGGTGTTCTGGTTCTGATGCATTTCAGGTTGGCATATATGCAGCAGTTGTCAGAAGGCTTCACATTATTGGTGTTATACTTGTACTTATTCTCTGTGCAAAGGTTGTACTAAGGATGCTGATTATCAATGCGTACGAGGAAACAAAGGATTTTGTGGAACATGTATGAGAACTATCATGCTAATTGAAAATGTGCAAGGAAATAAGGAAGTGGTATGCTGAAACATGTTTTGGCCTATTTAATTATTTTATGTAGTTATTACTTCCAGTAGTGTAGTTTTTCCTATGAACTGAGGATTCTCAGTTTTTTGGCATTTGGAGAGGGTTTGGATTGATTTAAGAGCAGAAAACTCTTTCATATCAAGAATGCTTTAGGTTTTTGTTTGTTTTATTTCCTTCTTTATTTTTTATTTTGTGCCCCCAGTAGTGCATGCTTATTTGCTGCTGATAGTAAAGTGGCGTTCCATCATGTTCTACCTTTTTGGAGTTTCTTAGGAGACAAATCACCTTGTTTCTATTTTTATCTCTTTCCTTTCTCATATAACTTTTGTGCAGGCCCAAGTAGATTTTGATGACAAAAGCAGCTGGGAGTATCTGTTCAAGGTTTACTGGAATCTTTTGAAAGGGAAACTATCATTAACTCTGGACGAGCTCATTAATGCTAAAAATCCATGGAAAGGAGCTGCTGTTGTGGTTTGTAAGAGGGATTCTTCGGGTGAACTATATAATGGGGATAAAACAACAGATTCAGGTTCTCTCAACTCTTTTGCAGACCTGGAAGCAACACATTCAAAAAGAAGTAATAAAAAGCCTAGAATTTCCAACAAGGATTTGACTGTTGAAAAATCACTTGGTGGTAGAGGGATGCCTTTCTCTGAAGGCACAGTTTGGGCATCAAAGGAGCTCCTGGCGTTTGTTGCTCATATGAAAAATGGTGATATATCTGTGCTATCTCAATTTGATGTCCAGGCACTTTTGCTCGAGTACATAAAGAAAAACAATCTTCGTGATCCTCGCCGGAAATGCCAAATTGTTTGTGATTCAAGGCTCATAAATCTGTTTGGGAAAGAATGTGTGGGTCACTTTGAAATGTTAAAGCTTCTTGAATCTCACTTCCTTATAAAGGAAAGTTCCAGGGCAGATAATATTAGCAGTGCTGCAGTTGTTACTAGTGTTTCCAGCCAAATGGAGTTTGATGGGATCCATGATAATCAAATGATGATGGGTAATGATAAGAGGCGTAAAACACGTAAAAGAGTAGATGAGAAAGGACCACAGACTAATCCAGCTGCATATGCAGCGATTGATGTTCACAACATCAATCTGATTTACTTGCGCCGTAACTGGATGGAGATTCTTATTGAAGACATTGATAAATTTCATGAGAAGGTGGTTGGTTCAGTTGTGCGAATAAGAATTTCTAGTGGTGATCAAAAGCAAGAGATTTATAGGCTTGTCCAAGTTATAGGTATTAGTTAACACGACCAATGCTTCAAGTTATTTCTTATATTTCCACTGTAATCATGAAAAGTTATGTTGTTGACATCTTTGTGTACAGGTACCAGCAAGGTTGCTGAACCTTATAAAATTGGCACAAGAACAACTGATGTCAAGCTTGAAATCTTGAACTTAGACAAGAAAGAGGTTATACCAATTGATGAGATCTCTAATCAGGAATTCACCCAGGTGAGTAAACTTATTGCCTACTCTCCTCCTCCCAAGGGTGCCTTGATATCACTTACTTGCACATACTAGAACTTTTAGTGATTATTTAATGAATACTTTTGGAACTCAAGTTTAGGAAAGGCGTATAGAGATTGCAAGTAGTGTGATAGTTTAGATATCAATAATGAAGGTGCTTGGAGCGTAATTATTTATTTGAACCCTGCTTTCTTCAGTTATGTGAACTAGCATTAAAGGATGCTTGGGGAACATGTACACTTACAATTAATGACGGACTTGAAATCCATATGCATGCTATTTTCTTGAACCCTCCTTTGTTCAGTTATGTGAGCTAGCATGAAATGGCTTGGGGAAGGTGTACACTTACCATTAATGACTGACTTGAAATCTATATGTACACTTAACATTAATGACTGACTTGAAATCTATATGCACCCTGTTTTCAATCTTTCGTGACATGGAATTAATGATGTAACCAAACAAAATTGGTTAAGGCATGCTTGTGGGTTCATATTTAAGTTTTTCATTCAATCTCTGACAAAAAAAAAAAAAAGTTTTTATTTGGTCTCAAGACGATGGGGATGCTGTTTGTTGCCCATGTTTTAGATGCTCTTTCTTTGTCATCGGTTTTTTTTTTCTTTTCCAGTTGTGATATTTTACTTATGTGTACAGGATGAATGCAAACGATTACGTCAAAGTATAAGGTGTGGGCTCACCAAACGTTTGACTGTGGTAGGTTTGCTTGTTATGCTCTGTTATATGTTATGCTCAAGATATTTGCAACTCGTTTTACGAAGGATTTTTGTGCTTGGTGTGTCAGGGTGAGATTCAGGAGAAAGCAATGGCACTTCAAGCAGTTAGAGTAAATGATGTAAGTTCCGTTACTTTTAAATCTGAGGCAAAAAGAGGATACATGTTTGTTTTTATGGAAGGATTGTAGATAGATTTGGTTGTCTTTTATAGTTACTAGCCTCTCGACCCACGCACCAATATCCTTTCTTATTTTAACTTTATCCCTATATATAGAGAATTTTTGTTAGACGCATACTCTTATTTCCTTTTTGTTTTTTAATTATTTGCATTTCAACAGACTATTGTTTTACGCATTTGCCCCTTTAAAATAAAGTAGTTGTGTTTTGAATTTTTTTTTCTTTAAATTGGGTTATTTGAAAATTTAACCACAAGGGCCTTTTGCTTCATATATATATATATATATATATAGATTCCTCCAGTTTAAGTATATGCATTGGTTGTTATTGTTTCTCCCAAACAAGTCATCAAGTGCTATTTCTGATACTGGTTTTTGGTTGGCATGGTCTTGCTCTCCGATGTAGTTGCTGGAAGCAGAGGTATTACGGCTTAATCACCTTCGCGACCGAGCAAGTGAAAAAGGACACAGAAAGGAATATCCTTTTTTGTCGATTATTCTAATGCTTTTTTTTCTTTTCCCTCTAATGATTTTGCTTGCACATTGTTGGTTATTCTGTTTGCACTCTCTGTTTACTTTAAATTACTTGTAGCATGTTCTTAAATTGAGAGGTGGTTTCCGTGAGTACCTGTGTACTCTATTCTCGATATTGCCTTGTGCGAGAGATATTTTGGTCCATGTAATTTAAAGTATTCCTTGACCATAGTTTACGCTTAGGGAATGTGTGGAGAAATTACAGCTTCTGAACTCTCCAGAGGAACGTCAGCGCAGACTGCACGAAATTCAGGAAGTGCACCCTGATCCTAGTATGGATCCAAGTTATGAGTCAGAAGACAGTGCTGGAGCATTCGATAAGAAACAAGGTCCCCATTTAATAGACATGGAATTATATCTTATCATTTTCTCCTTTGAAATGGAAGTCTTCTTTTGGAAATGTTAATTTGGGGTTAATTGTGGTGATGTGTATGCAGATGACAAAGTCAAACCAAGGAAATCTGTCTTTGGTAGAAAGGGAAGGGAACCTTTCCCTCAACCATGGGAAGGTGACTTTTCAAATAATATTGGAGGCAAGGCACAGAAAAATCGGGGTAGAGAAACATTTGGAATAAATGGATGCAGTACAATAAAGAATCAGGTCAATCCCACTGGTTTTACGGCTTTTGATTGGAATAATCAATCGGTGGTTGAATCTAATTCATCTACAGAGCTTGCATCAGAAATTTCATCGCTACCCTTATCTGCAGTGATAAAGACGGACCTATCTGTTGATAATTTTGAGACAGACAAGGTATGGCACTACCAGGACCCAACTGGTAAAATTCAAGGACCATTTGCGATGATACAGCTGCGTAAATGGAGTACAACTGGGCACTTCCCTCCTGATCATAGAATATGGAGGATAAATGAGAAACCAGATGACTCCATCCTTTTGGCTGATGCAGTGAATGGACAGTATTATAAAGAACCATTATTGCCACATGACAGCCACTTACTTTCTCAGGGATTTACAGTGGCCTTGGATGAAAGAAACAATGGCCAGGATGCTGGATCAAAGAAGAGTATGAATGCAACTCAAATAGATGGTAAAAAGGTTGAAGAGAGCTGGAACATGAAGCAGGATGGCCAAAGCTTGCATAATAATGGCAACGTTGAACCTGTGAGGTGTACTACACCTGTAGATGTTGTCAATTCCAATGAGGAACAAACCAGAAACCATTTGCAAGGCCAGGATCCATTGAAGGTTAATAGTTCTTCACCCGATAAAGCCCAAGAGAGTGGTTCACTACCTTCACCTGTAGTGCCTGTGAAACCATATGAAACACTAGTAGGAGAAAGTAGAGGAGCAGAAAATAACTCTGATCAGAACAATGGAAATTTGGATCCACCAAAGACAGCTCAGGGTCAAATTATGAATGGACAGTGTACTGAGAACCGATCTGATAGTGAGGGCCATTCAGGCCAATCTTCTGGACAAAACTGGAGACCTCCACCTGTAAGTAGTCCTTCAAATGGCTGTGATTCCAACTCTGATTTAATTCCTTTGTCTAAATCATGTGAGACGTCAGAACAAGATCAGAGGGAACTTAGTTTTCCAGATATTCCCAGTCCCACTCCAAAACCAAGCAATGGAGATTTACTTGGTCAGGCTGCTGAAAATAAGCAGTCTGTATCTTCAAATTTTCCTGTTCAGGATGCTGGACCTAGCTGGAGCACTGCTTCTAGTTTAGGGGGTGGTGGGGCACAACTTCCCGAAGTAGGTGGTGAATGGGGTGGGTATTCCCCAACTCCGGCCAAACCTACTTCTCTTGAGGAATGGGAATCCAGTCTTGTCTCTGCATCTTCTCTAAAACCAAGCGAGATGGCAGGTGATTGTGTTGCTACCGCGGTTTCAGTGAGTGGTCAGCTGACTCATTCTTCCCCATCCCATCCTACCTCTAATGCATCTGGTTGGCAGGACATTCTTACTGGATCCACTGAATTTTGCACTTTAGCTGGTGAATCAGTTTCAGATCTTCTGGCTGAAGTTGAAGCAATGGAGTCTCTCAGCGGCTTGGCTACCCCGACATCAATCATGAATTGTGGAGGTGAATTTACAGAGGGTTCCAAAAATGAGAGTATCAGTTCTGTAGAGGGATTTAGCCCCCCCGACCCTGGTAAAGGTGATGCCTTAAGCTCCAGTGGTGATTTGCGGGTACCTATGGTGTCGGATGAACCACTTGGGGAATGCCAGGGAAATGCTGTTGATCTGCAAAAAGGATGTGGTGTGCATTCTTCCACAAGCACTGAAGCGGAGGGAGACAGAAAACCGAGTGATGTTTCAGTCAACCAATGGGAGGCAGGAACAGAGATCCAAACCACTGCACCACCCAAGGAAAATTGGGACATAGCTAGTACAGACAATCAATGGAAAGCCAGGTCAGAAAGCACAGAAACCAGTTGGGAAGCAGCCCAGGGAAATGCAAACATGGGCTGGGGAGGTGGTCAGGGTATAGTGCAGGGAAACACAAGCATCCATCCAGGTACTCCAGCTGGGGCCATGTTGGAAAGCCAGTCGAGGTACGGCGGAGACAGATTCATCGGTCCAAGAGATCGGGGTTTTCAGAATAGGGATGTAGGTTTTGGTAGGGGTAGGTTCCAATGGAACAGGCAGACATATGGAAATGGAGGAGGTTCATTCAGGCCTCCTCCCAAAGGCCAGCGGGTATGTAAATATTATGAAAGCGGGTACTGCAAGAAGGGAGCATCATGTGGTTATTTGCACCCATGATTTTGGGTGCCAGAACAATTAGACACATTTAATTCTGTAATCATTACTCATAATTAGGAGGCTCTGTTGTTGCCAATGCTGTAATTTAACATGTAAAAGTAGCCATCAAGAGGCTTTAGTGCATAATAATATTTTTTGGGTTAGCTTAGAATTATTCAGAGTACCATGTTGGGTATTCATTCCATGTTTATGTAATATTTGATGAACAAGGTTGTCCACAATGGACGATTACTACTCATAATTCCTTGTGTTTCTTCTTGACTCAGTTTTAACAAGCATTTTGATAGTTTGCTTGATCCATGTGTTTTGATATGATTGTTTACTGGGCTTGGACCATTTAAATTCAAATTCAAGGACTCGTTTGGAATGCTTTTAGGAACCACTTGTGTTCATGAGCATTTTTATAGAAGTGCTTCTATTTAAAGAATGCCTATAAAATTTCTTGAAACTAGTGCTTAAGTGATTCCAGATGCTTCTGTCCAGAAAGTGCTTTAGTGCTTTTGTAAGTTGTAACCCTAGTAGGTACTATCAAATGCTATCACAAGCGTTTTTGGTTGTTCAAAAATGCTCACAAGCGTTTTTGGTTGTCCAAAAATGCTTTTAGACCTTTCAGAAGCACTCTCAAATATATCCTAATAACTAATTAGCTATTCCTGTAGGAGTATTTTACTTTTTAAGGAAATGTTGGAAGGCGTCCCAATGATAAAACAAAAAAGTTTAATTGTTTTTTTTTCACTGGAAACCTCTTTCCCAATTGATAAAACAAAAAGTCTCAACATTAGTCCAATTATGAATAAATGCTGTCTAATTTAAGGATATAAAATGGTTATTTGATTTAATATTTTTATATGATAAATTAGCAATTTGAAGTGAGACATGTAGCAAATGTATCGAAAACAACTCTTCACGTTGCCGCGTGGGCAAGCAAATAAAAACGACGTCTGGGCTGGCTGTCTCTGGTGCGGAGGAGCCAGGAGGAGGAGAAGAAGTTGAATATTTATTTCAATTTAAAACTCGAGCGTCGAGGAGGGCTTCAGGTTGAATCAACAACATTGCCAATTCTCGCGCGATTGAATTTTGTTCACTATTAGTTTGACCGCAAAATAACTACTACAATTAACACAAAAATCACCAAACTCCCATGAATTCAGTTCTCTGAGACTCATGGCAACGACGTCGTTCTTGACGCCGACGCAGAGGTACGCCGCCGGAGCTCTGTTCGCGTTCGCTCTTCACCAGGCTCAGATCCACCAGACCCATCCCCTGCGATTGTCCTCTGAAGAAGAAGAATCAACCGAGGAGCGGACCAGTAGTGTCAGCAGCGCCGACTCCGTCTCCGACGGCCCGGAGCTTTGGGTCCATGAAAACTCGGGTCTCCTCCGACCCGTTTTCAGGTCCATTTCACTCCTCAATTTCATATTTTTATATATTTATTTTATCTGATCTTTCAACCCTGAATATTAGTGGAGCGGTGCAGTGAATTTATATAATAAGGGATTTGAATTGTTGGACTTTCGCTACCCTAAGGCATTTTCAATATTGCTCATGTCGTGAATAGGTTTCTGGAGATTGATTCTGCAGCCTGGTCCGGACTTCAGGAAAGCGCTGCTACTTCTCCTGCTAGCCATCATGTTGGAGCAGTACGTCTGTTTGTTCCAATATTTTGATCACCATTTTATTTTGGGTTAATTTTATATTTTGTTTTTTTAATTGTCTTTGCTATGTTTTTTGACTTTATCATAGTTCTTGAGGTTGCTTGCTGAAGAAGGTGGTGATGGTGATAAGGATGGTTCACAAAGTGCAGATCAAGAACTTGCTTTGTCCAGAACTGTTGATGCTATGGCACTTAGCATGGAAAAGACTTCGGAGTCTTCCCAATCTAAGAAGGAAAAGCATCGTGAATATGAAAATGAATGCCGTGAGAAATTCTCCACAGCTGAGGTGAATAAAAACATTGAAGCAGCGGATGAGCATTTGGAAAGTCCGCAGGAGAAAAGGACCACAGCTGAGGTGAAACAAAAAATTGAAGAGGATGTGCAGTTGGAAAATCTGATGCAGAAATGCTCCACAGCTGATGTGAAACAAAACAGTGAAGGAGTGGGTGCACTTTTGGAAAATCAGCAAGGCACTGGTGGTAATCTGGTTAGTGCCAAAGACGCACTTGCGGCTAGCAGTGAGATTCGTGAGAAAACTATTGGAGAGTTGACAATGCTCAGTTATCAGAGGAAAGTTATGGTTCTCTATGAGCTCCTTTCAGCTTGTCTGGCTGATAAACAAGAAGACAACAAGAAATGTACCCGTCGAAGAAAGGGTTATGATGCTCGGCATCGCGTAGCTCTGCGATTGCTTGCAACTTGGCTTGATGTCAAGTGGATGAAAATGGTATCTATGTTCGCCCTCTGAGTTCCCTCCTAATTTATTCTACATGTGCTTAGGTTGAAATGTTCTTAGGTTAGTTAGGTGTCTTATGATATGATCAGTATGAAAAGATACCTCCTCATTTTCGCTTTTAATCACCAAGATCAGGATAGTATCGTATTTCGATACAAATTGACAGCAACTACATTCCCTTCTTCATTATGGTCACGTTTTATGCTTTTTGTCCTAAACTTTGCTTTGTAGGAAGCCATTGAGACAATGGTTGCTTGCTCTGCAATGGCATTAGTGAAAAAGGAAGAAGAAAAAGAAGAAACCCAGTCACCAAAAAGCAAATGGGCTAAATGGAAGCGTGGTGGTATCATTGGCGCAGCTGCAATAACCGGAGGAACGTTGCTGACAATAACTGGTGGTATGAGACCCTAAAAAAATCTTTGCTTATTGTAGAAGAATTTAAAATCCTTCTACAAATTTTTCAGCTTCAACAGTTTTGGTCTTGCAATTCGTGTAGTTTTACTTTTCTACAGGATTAGCAGCCCCAGCAATTGCTGCAGGACTTGGTGCTCTAGCTCCAACATTGGGCACTCTCATCCCAGTAATTGGAGCAAGTGGGTTTGCTGCAGCTGCAAGTGCTGCTGGAACTGTTGCTGGTTCTGTTGTTGTTGCTGCATCATTTGGAGGTGAATAGGTTTTTTTGGTTGTTGAATCATCTGATTTGCTCTTTATTGTTTCTGTGGGATATATCTTTTGTTTCTACAAACAGTTTCATATTTCATATTCATATTGTATTTGTGCGAACTAATTTATGGTCTACTGCTCACTCTCCATTCAATCAAGCTGCTGGAGCTGGACTCACAGGGAGCAAAATGGCTAGAAGAACTGGAAGTGTCGATGAATTTGAGTTCAGCGCTATAGGAGAAAATCATAATCAAGGCGTGAGTTTTTTTAAGCTCCAAATTCTATTTTAATTTTTTTTCTTCTTATTATTCTACCTTAGGGAGAACTTTTACTATAGTCCGGTGGGCTATAGTTTTGTTTTTACTCTCTCTCTTTACACACACATATCTATAATTAGTGGTTCAAACTGTAATTTTTCTCACCTTATCTCTCAGAGGCTAGCAGTTGAGATCTTGGTTTCAGGATTTGTTTTTGATAAGGAAGATTTTGTAAGGCCTTGGGAGGGACAGGATGACAATTTGGAAAGGTACAGATATTTTTACTACTCTTCAACATGTTTGAAGAACCTGAAAATTAAACTGAACTGATCCAGGCCTTTGAAATCCATAAATGGAAGTTACAGATGAATTATCTATTATGACCTTAACAAATCTATAGGTATGCGCTGGTCTGGGAATCGAAGAATCTAATTGCAGTCAGCACTGCAATTCAGGATTGGCTTACTTCAAGTAATTGGTTTGGATTATTGTTATTTACTGGTAATATGACGATATAAATTGCACATGATATTGAGATTACCTCTGGTTGATGTAGGAATTGCAATGGGGTTGATGAAGCAAGGTGCAATGATGACTGTGTTAGGCACTCTTGTTACTGCACTGGCTTGGCCTGCAACATTACTTGCAGCTGCTGATTTTATAGATAGCAAATGGGCAATTGCTGTGGACAGGTCCTTTTTCACCCTTATCAAGAAGAGTGGGAAAATCTTTCTTTTAAGTTCATTCTTATTTGTGATTTCCAGAAGCTTTGGTCAGGAATGCTGGAGTTACTCCAGAGTAGCAATGTTTGTTGTGAGTTTCTATCTAGACTTGTTCAACCTTTTTTTTATTCCAGGTCAGACAAAGCAGGAAGGCTGCTTGCTGAGGTGTTATTAAAAGGAATTCATGGGAACAGGTCAACATCATAACTTGAAATTATTGTTATCTCATTACTTCAGAAATTCCTGAAAAACCAATCCGAATAATTTTTGTTCGCTCGGGATTTCGTGGACTTCAGGCCTGTAACACTGGTGGGTTTCTCACTTGGAGCACGAGTAATTTTCAAGTGTCTGCAGTGTTTGGCAGAAACTGAAAAGAACGGTAAGTGATAATAATTGCTCATCTATCTCCTCTATCCTGGATTAATAATTATTTCTTTATATTGGCAGCTGAACTTGTAGAAAGAGTTGTTCTTCTTGGAGCACCCATCTCGATCGCAGATGAGAAATGGGCAGCTGCTAGAAAGGTGATAGCAAAATTGGTTTTTTTTGTTTTTGTTTTTCCTTTTTCTCCACCTCCGAAGTTTGCAGAGTTTTATTACAACTTTGGTGCAAGTGTTTACTACCTCCGGATATTTGCAGATGGTGGCTGGAAGATTTGTCAATGCCTACTCCACAAATGATTGGATGCTTGGGATTGCTTTCCGTGCCAGGTATGCAGAATGGGAGATTGTTTTAGTAGAGCCTTTGGTCATACCTGCAAATTTTAGGAATTAGTGGTTGATTTACTGTAGGAAATATGTTAGGCAGGTCTCTCTCTCTCTCTCTCTCTCTCTCTCTCCCCTTAGTGCCCAAGCCCACCAGAGAACGCATCTCAACCTTGAACTAGCTTACAACTTGATGGCTATACACTTGTTTATGAATACAATTACGTGCCCATTTCAAGGATTTGATAGAAGGAAATGGGATGGGGTGGGGGTCAGTTTATTGCAGCTCTACTATACTGATAGATTGTTATTTGTTGATTTCCATAATAGTAACTAATGATCACTTTTGAACAGTCTACTTTCTCGAGGATTAGCCGGAATTCAACCTATAAAAGTTGAAGGGATTGAAAATGTAAGTTTTCTCCTCATCTCTCTCTGTCTCTCTCTGCCATCTCAGTTGCTCTTGGGAGGCGCATTACTTCAACTAGAATTCTGTGTTCCCTGAATAGAGCTTACTGCTTGAGATAGTTGCTGAAAAGCAGTACATAACTTAGAGTTCGAAGGGGGATAACGATTGAAACCCTTAACAACATCAGTATGCTTTCTTTGGTATTTGCAGGTTGATGTAACTGATGTGATTGATGCCCACTCTTCCTATCTTTGGGGCGCACAGCAGATCCTGGATCTGCTTGAACTGGAGGCCTATTATCCTGTTTTCCGAAGCACTATTTGCATACAATGAAACTGTAACTATACTACCACCACTCTTCCTTTTCCTGGTTTGCGTGGGGTAAGAAGAACAACACTCGGTGGATCTAGATACTTGTTTTTGTACTTGGTCACTCCATCCATGTCTGTCTTCCATATCTTACTGTAAGAGAACAAAAAAGCGTCTCAAATGCTTGAATAAAATGTGTACATATTATGAGATATCTTGCTCTTTTGGTAATATCCTTGTGTTGTGCCCTTTGCCTGTTATACTATTTGACAAGGCTGGATATCTTCATTTAACCTCATTTAAAACAAAGTTTCTGGGCAGATGAGGGTTAGGCAGTTAGACAGGGCAGTGAGCCCGACTCTTTGCATCCAAGTTCGAATTCATCTTCGTATATTAGATTAATTTAGAGTAGTTAACTTTAAACTATTGCTCGTATTTAAAAAAAAAGTTTCTAAATATCTTCATTAAAAACCAAATACATATAACTCACAGTAAAAATAAAATTTCACCAAATCAGATGTTAGTAAAACTATGGATTGTAAGATGATTCATGCAATGCCTTGCTGAAAATGAGAAGATAAATCAATATACTACGGTAAAAAAGAATTGTTAAGTAAAAAAAAAGAGTCCGGTAAATTCGTTAAAAACCTACTTGTCACACTTTATTTTATTATTCCGTGCGAGTAAAACCACGTGTGACGCCACCTGAGCAAAATGGGGTACAAAAATACGAGAGAGCCAAACCCGCGTGACAGAATGAGAAGAGAGTGAGAGTCACAGTGAGGACGACGACGACGCCATGGCTACGAATAAGAGTACGGAGAAAGAAAAAGGCCCAGAAAAGGTCTCGAACAAAGGGAGATCATGCAAAGGAACACTTTATTATTCAACCGCTCTCAAATCCAAAGCTTACAATCCTATCTGCCTCGGCGTTCCTCGCACCCTCCCTCAAGGTCTCTCTTTCCCTGTAAAACTTCCCTTCTCTCTTTCCTTGTTATTTTCCGTTTGGTTCTCGAGAAAAACAAACAATTAAACATTAGTTCCATCACCAACCGACCTATTTTTTATTTATTAATTCATGAGACACCTGATCGATTGCGGAAGTTTCGATTCTCTTAGAGAATTCTAACTTTTAGGGTTTCGATGTTTGAATTCTATTTTTTTTTAAATTTAAATTTTGTAAACCAGGTTTTAGCTTTTCACCTTATATTTGAGATTCATTCGTGAAAGTTTAGGTTAGGAAAAAGTCATCATCTTTGAGCTGCAGACAGCTTATTTTTTTTGCTTTTCCTATAAAGGATTAATCTTTCTTTGCTAGTTTTGTAAATTTGATTTTAGAACACATTTATTTTTTCTGGATTAGATTGTTTGCTTTGTGCTCTCCTTTTTGCCAGTTGAAACCTTTTTTTATATGAAAGTCGTATGCCACCTACTAATATGTAGATTTGGTGACCAGTGCCTGACGCAGTAGTTGTAGCAACTGAGAGGGAGGCTTCTAGAGAGGATCGACATCTTGCTGATTTTCGTTATGCTTGTGCTGGTTACTCTATGTATTTGGATCGAATTAAAGAAGACCCTTCTCAAAAGAACACATTAGAATTGCCCGTTTGTATTGGCTTGGTGGTAATCTCTCACCCTCTCTTTCGCCCAGAGACTCACACACAATGAAACATTTTATTATGTGCTTATATGAGATGTGGGGGTTCATGTGCTTGATTATTGACTTTAATTGGTTGCTTAAATGCATGGAGATTTGCAATTGTTTTTCTTTGTCTTTTAATTTTAATTTTGATGTTAATTGGATTAGTTATTACTTTACCTTGCTTTACAGTTTACGTAATGAGATCATGTTTAACGAGATCTCAATATATTGTATGATAATGATAATCAGCTATGAGCTATTCACGGAGGTTGTGACTTTTGGGTTTTTGGTGCAAATTGGAGCGGGATCGTTCTTAGATAGCTGGAAGTAATATGGTCTGTGACTTTATGGGCGCATGAAATTTCTAATTAAACAGCTCCTTTTGCGTGCATTAGTTTTTGTTTAGCAAGCAATCTGACTAAATGAGTTGCTGCAGTTTTTGGTTGGCAAAAGAATCCATAAAACATCACCAGCTGCCGCTCCTGTTTCTACCCATGTTCATCACAAAGAGGGTAAGGAAAAAAAAAAAATTTGTTTACCAGTCTCTATTTTTTTTTTACTTGTCATTCTCTTTCCAGGTGTTTCTTACAATAGTTTGCCTTCAATATAGTCAAGGTCTTCCTGCAAAAATGACATGTAGATAGTGAGGTCGTGTGAGTATAATTCCACTGAACTTAGCTTAATTCTGCTAGTTACTGATATGCATTCCAGAGATGGTCGCGTTGGTTAAGAATATATTAACTATATAGTATTTGGTTTCTATAAATGATTTAGAAAAAGTTGTGTACCAAAAACAAGTACTGTTTTTTCATTAAATGTTACATTATCATCTGTTGTCAGCTATTTATCCCTTTTCTTTACCTTCTAGATGTTCGTGAAGTCCCTCAGACTCAGAGGCACCAACCACCTACTCAATCTGCCGGAACTGTTTTCTTGAACAAGTAAGCATATGATTAGAGTATCCAAGTGAAGAATATGAAATCCTGGTTTTACGAAACTTTAAGCCTTATTTCGTAAGGGTTATCTTATCTGGTGTTTGTTAATGAATGTGTAGGTTTTCAAGAAATGCAGATCTTGTTGCTTCAGGGGTGACTAAGAACGTGTATAAAGTAGGTAACTACATAAAAGGAAGTCTCTCAGATTTTTTGTTCCCATACAGAGGGAGATCAAAGTAAGATGGCTTGTTGAAGATATCGGACGAATGAATAAATATACTGAAGAAGCGGGATTCGGCTTCAAGTCGACCTGGTTTCTGTGCTTGTTTATAATACCTCACTCCACATTTTGAGCAATATAATGTTAGTGCAACTGCTAGTCATAGTCGTAGATGGCGATTATTATTTGTTCTCTAACTGTTTATTTAGTTGTGGAGGAATGTGACAAGAGGTTCTGTTATGTATGATACAATGAAATCCAAATTGTGCAATTTGCTAATCTTACCGTATGATTCTCATAAACAACCTTTGTATAACCTTCCTCATAGAACTGGTCGCATAACTATCATGTCAGTGAATTGAATTTAGCTGAGGAGTTTTTGCAAGGAAGGAATGGAGTTTATGTCTCTTCTCTACACATGCGTTCGTCTGTGAGCGACACGCACGTGTGAACGACATTAATGTACCTGCACACGCACATCTTGATATTCATTTTTCTCTTGCCATATTCGAATTCCAATCCATATTCTTTTTCTTTTTTCTTTTATTTTGGGGTAATGGGGGTGTCTCTGACTAAACCAATAAGATTAGATGAAGATAATGTATTGGTCTTGGTTTACTGCCCTATAAATGAGCAACTAGCAGATATCTTCACAAAGTCATTGGCTAAGGATTGATTCCACTACCTTAGGGATAAACTTGGAGTGAAATCAGCTCAAAACTTAAATGGGAGTGTAGAAATGTAAGTAAATGGGAATGTAGAATTGTGAGTAATAAGTTGATTAGCATAAGTATAAGCCTAGAACAATAATAGTGAATACACTTAGCCTCTTAGAATGGCAGGTGTAACGCTCCAAAATATAAGGCTGAAATAAGCTATGTGTAGTGATCTTAGTATAACTAGATGAATGGCTGAGATATAATATGATGCTTGTGTGTATCCAGCTAAGGCTAAACGTCATGAAGTACACGTTTTTGTGTGCTCATTCTCAGATAAGAAATATACATTCCTCTCTGCACTTTCTGGTAGAGAGAAGTAGAGCATTTCATCATTCTTCTATTCTTTCTTCTAGAGCATTCCATAACTCAGCTAGAATACAAAAGCACTAACATGGCCTTAGAACCAGGTTCGATCAATTGAATCTGGGTGTTCTCAATCTGTGAAATCGAGCTACATTAGAGCTCAATCGAGGCTCTGTGAAATTGCTAGAGTTCGATCAAAACCTAAATACAGTTTGTTCGTGGCTTACCTGAGATCAAAGATGGCTGGATTTGGAAGTTCAGAAGTAAGAACTCCGATCTTCTCTAGTGAGAACTATGAGTTCTGGAGAATCAAGATGGTAACTATATTCAAGTCATATGGGCTTTGGAATTTGGTGAAAAAGGGAATTCCGATCCTTGATTCGAAGAAGAAGACCGAGGATACTTCAGAAGATGACTATGATGAAAAAATGGCTACCATCTTCATGAAAGATGCAAAGGCTCTAGGCATCATTCAAAACACAGTTTCCGATCAATTCTTCCCTCATATCACCAATGCTGACTTTGTAAGATGGCATGGGAGCTGCTGTATGGAGAATATCACGGTGGTGACCACGTTAGATTGGTAAAACTCCAAAACCTCATACGTGAATTTGAATACAGTAGAACGCGTGATAATGAGTCCTTATCTGTTTATCTTACTCGATTGAATGAGCTAATTAACCAGATGAAAACCTTTGGTGAGACTCTCTCTAATGAGAGGCTTGTCCAAAAGGTTCTGATCAGTCTTAGTAAGGTTTATGATCCTATTTGCCTGGTGATTAAGAATACAAAAAGTCTAGAAACTGTAGAACTTCAGGAAGTTATCTCAATATTGAAGAGTCAAGAACAACGGTTCAAGCTACATAATGTTGATACAGCTGAAAAGGCATTTGCCTCATTCTCTGTGAGTCCAAAAGGCCAGAACAAGGGTGGCACTCAATCTGGTTCATCTAAATTCCAGAAGAATTGGAATCCTAAGGGCAAGTCATAGGAATCAAAGTCCAAATTTCAGCAGACTAGTTCTACACAGGGTTTGACCTCATCACCATTAGTGAATCAAGAAGGGGCAAAGCCATAGTGCAAAGTGTGTTCGAAGTTCCATTTTGGTGAATGCAGGTATAAATGAAAGCCTAAGTGTTACAATTGTGACAAGTTTGGACATTGGGCTAGAGAATGCACTGCAAGTAAAAATGTGCAGAAAACTAACTATACAAATCAAGTGGAAGTGACAGGAAACTTATTTTATGCCAATAGTACCATCTTTGGAGCAAGTGTTAATGGTGAATGGTATATAGACAGTGGTTGCAGCAATCACATGATTGGAGATAGGAAGCTGCTAGTTGATATAAGAACAAACGTGATAGGCAAGGTACAAATGCCAACTGGAGAGCTTGTTGATGTAGTTGGAATGGGAACTCTAGTGATTGACACTAGCAAAGGTAGAAAGTACCTCAAAGAAGTGATGTATTGACCTGGGTTGAAAAAGAACTTACTAAGTGTGGGACAGATGGATGAGCACGGTTACTATTTGCTATTTGAGGGCAAAATGTTCAGCATCTTTGACAATTCCTCACTGGAAAGTCTTGTTATCAAAGTGGAGATGAAGAGGAATAAATTCTATCCTTTGGCACTATTACCTAATGATCATATTGCTCTGAAAACGAGTGTATCACACTCTACTTGGACTTGGCACAAAAGGCTAGGCCATCTACATCTAAGGGGGCTAAACCAACTCAAAGAAAAGGAAATGGTGCATGAACTTCCATACTTAGAAGAGCTTGATGAAGTATGTGAAGGGTGTCAACTTGGAAAGCAACATAGATAGTGGTTTCCAAAGAATCAAGCATGGAGAGCAAGCAATCCCCTTGAGCTAATTCATGTGGACTTGTGTGGGCCTATGCAAAATGAGTCTATAGCCGGTAACAAGTACTTCATGCTTCTTATAGATGACTGTACAAGAAATATTTGGGTTTACTTTCTCAAATACAAGTCAGATGCACTGAACTGTTTTCGAAAGTTCAAGTCCATGGTAGAATTGCAAAGTGACTTTAGAGTGAAATGTTTGAGAAGTGACAAATGGGGTGAATTCACATCTTGTGAGTTTAACAAGTTGTGTGAAGATGAAGGTATTCAAAGACAACTCTCTATGGCTTACACTCCACAACAAAACGGAGTGGTGGAGAGAAAGAATAGGACTGTGGTTGAAATGGCAAAAGTCATGCTTCATGAGAAAGGATTACCTTACTACTTGTGGGTAGAATCTGTACACACAACTATCTACATACTGAATAGATGTCCTATAAGAGCACTTAGAGATATAACTCCATTTGAAGCATACAGTGGGAGGAAACCAGGGATTGCACACCTTAAAATCTTTGGTTGCTTGTGTTATAGGCATATACCAAGTGAGGTGAGACATAAGCTAGATGCAAAGAGTACCAAGGGGATATTTGTGGGTTATGGAACCTGTGAAAAGGGATACAGAGTGTATAATCCAGTCACTAAGAAGCTTATACTCTCAAGAGATGTTGTGTTTGATGAAAATGCAGCTTGGGATTGGAAGGAAATGCCTGAGAATCATGTATCTGTGACCAGCCATGAAGAGCAATCCAAGGTACCTGAAGCTACATCACCAAAGACACCTCTTGAGAGTCATGATCAAGTTCAGTCACCAAGAGAATCATCTCCTCATGAACCATCAGGTGGCATAAGTAGCAGCATGAGGAATTCTCAAGCCTTTGATCACACTCCGCTAAAATGGGTGAAACTTGGATGATGTTCTAGCACAATGCAATCTTTGCATCATGGAACCTGGGAAATTTGATGAAGCTACTAAAGATGAATCATGGATAAAAGCCATGGAAGATGAACTGTCAATGATTGAGAAAAATGCAACATGGAAGTTGGTGGACAGACCAACTGACAAACCTATAATTGAAGTTAAATGGGTGTTCAAGACCAAGCTCAATCTTGATGGCTCAATACAAAAAATAAGGCAAGACTAGTAGCCATGGGTTATGCTTAGAAACCAGGTGTTGACTATAATGAGACTTTTGCACCAGTGGCTAAACTTGATACAATTCGAACACTAGTTGCATTGGCAGCACAGAAGAGTTGGAAATTGTATCAGCTAGATGTTAAATCTGCTTTCCTAAACGGTGTGTTAGAAGAGGATGTTTATGTAGTCAGCCAAATGGTTTTATGGTCAAGGGGAGTGAAGACAAGGTGTACAAGCTTCATAAAACTCTGTATGGCTTAAAACAAGCACTAAAGGCATGGTATGGTGAAATTGACACCTACTTTGCTCAATGTGGATTTGCAAAGAGTCAAAGTGAGGCCACTCTTTATACCAAAACCAGAGGAGAAGCAGAAATTATGATCATGTCTATATATGTAGATGATATTGTGTATACAGGGAATAGTCAACCAATGTTTGAGGAGTTCAAGAGAGACATGATGGTAAAGTATGAAATGACATACTTAGGGCTCCTACATCACTTTTTGGGAATGAGAGTCATCCAAACTCATACAAGTATCTTTATTCATCAAAGAAAGTACACTGCATCTTTATTGAGTAAATTTGGCTTGAGTGACTGTAAACCTGTTTCTATAGCCTTAGTTACAACTGAAAAGCTGAGCAAAGATGATGACAGTGGTCTAGCAAATGAAGAACAGTATAGGAAGATTGTGGGAAGTCTATTGTATCTCACAGCCACAAGACCTGATGTGATGTATGCAACTAGTCTACTTGCTAAGTTCATGCACTGCCCCACTAATAAGCACTATGCAATTGCGTCAAAGGAACACTTGACTATGGCTTGGAGTATGTGAAAGGAAGAAATGTAGTCTTAATTGGCTACTGTGATAGTGACTAGGGTGGCACAGTTGATGACAACAAAAGCATCTCAGGATATGCTTTTTCCTTTGGTAGTGGAGTCTTTGCTTGGGCCTCAGGTAAACAAAACTATGTTGCTCTCTCTACTGCAGAGGAAGAATATATCAGTGCATCAGAGGCAACTGCACAGGCAATTTGGCTCGGGTTTGTGTTAGAAGATTTTGGCAAATTTCAAGCTGAGGCTACTCCACTTTAGTGTGATAATATTGTTGCAATTCCCATCACAAGGAATCCTGTGTTTCACCAGAAAACTAAGCATATTGATCGATGTGTTTCACCAGAAAACTAAGCATATTGATCGAAGGTATCACTTCATCCAGGATGCTCTGCAAGAAGGAATCATCGACTTGGTTTATTGCCCTATAAATGAGCAACTAGCAGATATCTTCACAAAGTCATTGGCTAAGGATCGATTCTACTACCTCAAGGATAAATTTGGAGTGAAATCAGCTCAAAACTTAAAGGGGAGTGTAGAACTGTAAGTAATGAGCTGATTAGCATAAATATAAGCCTAGAACGATAATAGTGAATGCATTTAGCCTCTTAGAATGGCAGGTGTAAGGCTCCAAAATATAAGGTTGAAATAAGCCACGTGTAGTGATCTTAGTATAACTAGATGAATGGCTAAGATACAATATGATGCTTGTGTGTATCCAGCAAAGGCTAAACGTCATGAAGTACATGTTTTTGTGTGCTCATTCTCAGATAAGAAATATACATTCCTTTCTGCACTTTCTGGTAGAGAAAAGTAGAGCATTTCATCATTCTGCGTTTCTTCATTCTTCTATTTTTTCATCTTGAGCATTCCATAACTCAGCTAGAATACAAAAACACTAACAGGTTGGGGGTCAGTTTATTGCAGCTCTACTATACTGATAGATTGTTATTTGTTGATTTCCATAATAGTAACTAATGATCATTTTGAATAGTCTACTTTCTCTAGGATCAGCCGGAATTCAACCAATAAAAGTTGAAGGGATTGAGAATGTAAGTTTTCTCTTCATCTCTCTATGTCTCTCTCTGCCATCTCAGTTGCTCTTGGGAGGCGCATTACTTCAACTAGAATTATGTGTTCCCTGAATAGAGCTTACTGCTTGAGATAGTTGCTGAAAAGCAGTACATAACTTAGAGTTCGAAGGGGGATAACGATTGAAACCCTTAACAACATCAGTATGCTTTCTTTGGTATTTGCAGGTTGATGTAACTGATGTGATTGATGCCCACTCTTCCTATCTTTGGGGCGCACAGCAGATCCTGGATCTGCTTGAACTGGAGGCCTATTATCCTGTTTTCCGAAGCACTATTTGCATACAATGAAACTGTAACTATACTACCACCACTCTTCCTTTTCCTGGTTTGCGTGGGGTAAGAAGAACAACACTCGGTGGATCTAGATACTTGTTTTTGTACTTGGTCACTCCATCCATGTCTGTCTTCCATATCTTACTGTAAGAGAACAAAAAAGCGTCTCAAATGCTTGAATAAAATGTGTACATATTATGAGATATCTTGCTCTTTTGGTAATATCCTTGTGTTGTGCCCTTTGCCTGTTATACTATTTGACAAGGCTGGATATCTTCATTTAACCTCATTTAAAACAAAGTTTCTGGGCAGATGAGGGTTAGGCAGTTAGACAGGGCAGTGAGCCCGACTCTTTGCATCCAAGTTCGAATTCATCTTCGTATATTAGATTAATTTAGAGTAGTTAACTTTAAACTATTGCTCGTATTTAAAAAAAAAGTTTCTAAATATCTTCATTAAAAACCAAATACATATAACTCACAGTAAAAATAAAATTTCACCAAATCAGATGTTAGTAAAACTATGGATTGTAAGATGATTCATGCAATGCCTTACCGAAAATGAGAAGATAATTGTTTTCTTGATACAGATAAAAAAAACCATTAGGATAGATTTTTTGAACAAATCAATATACTAAACTATTTATTTTATTATTAAGTAAAAAAAGAATTGTTAAGTAAAAAAAGAGAGTCCGGTAAATTCGTCTAAAACCTACTTGTTACACTTTATTTTATTATTCCGTGCGAGTAAAACCACGTGTGACGCCACCCGAGCAAAATGGGGTACAAAAAAACGAGAGAGCCAAACCCGCGCGACAGAATGAGAAGGGAGTCAGAGTCACAGTGAGCACCACGACGACGCCGACGACGACGCCATGGCTACGAATAAGAGTACAGATAAAGAAAAAGGCCCAGAAAAGGTCTCGAACAAAGGGAGATCATGCAAAGGAACACTTTATTATTCAACCGCTCTCAAATCCAAAGCTTACAATCCTATCTGCCTCGGCGTTCCTCGCACCCTCCCTCAAGGTCTCTCTTTCCCTGTAAAACTTCCCTTCTCTCTTTCCTTTCTTGTTATTTTCCGTTTGGTTCTCGAGAAAAACAAACAATTAAACATTAGTTCCATCACCAACCGACCTATTTTTTTATATTAATTCATGAGACATCTGATCGATTGCGGAACTTTCGGTTCTCTTAGAGAATTCTAACTTTTAGGGTTTCGATGTCTGAATTCTTTTTTTGTTTTAATTTAAATTTTGTAAACCAGGTTTTAGCTTTTCACCTTATATTTGAGATTCATTCATGGAAGTTTAGGTTAGGAAAAAGTCATCATCTTTGAGCTGCAGACAGCTTTTTTTTTTTTTTGCTTTTCCTATAAAGGATTCATCTTTCTTTGCTAGTTTTGCAAATTTGATTTTAGAACCACATTTATTTTTTCTGGATTAGATTGTTTGCATTGTGCTCTCCTTTTTGCCAGTTGAAACTTTTTTTTATATGAAAGTCGTATTGGCCTACCTACTAATATGTAGATTTGGTGACCAGTGCCTGACTCAGTAGTTGTAGAAACTGAGATGGAGGCTTCTAAAGAGGATCGACATCTTGCTGATTTTCGTTATGCTTGTGCTGGTTACTCTATTTATTTGGATCGAATTAAAGAAGAACCTTCTCAAAAGAACACATCAGAATTGCCCATTTGTGTTGGCTTGGAGGTAATCTCTCACCCTCTCTTTCTCTCTTTCGCTCAGAAACTCACACACAATGAAACATTTTATTATGTGCTTATATGAGATGTGGGGGTTCATGTGCTTGATTATTGACTTTAATTGGTTGCTTAAATGCATGGAGATTTGCAATTGTTTTTCTTTGTCTTTTAATTTTGATGTTAATTGGATTGGTTATTACTTTACCTTGCTTTACAGTTTACATAATGAGATCATGTTATACGAGATCTCAATATATTGTATGATAATGATAATCAGCTATGAGCTATTCACGGAGGTTGTGACTTTTGAGTTTTTGGTGCAAATTGGAGCAGGATCGTTCTTAGATAGCTGGAAGTAATATGGTCTGTGACTTTATGGGCACATGAAATTTCTAATTAAACAGCACCTTTTGCGTGCATTAGTTTTTGTTTAGCAAGCAATCTGACTAAATGAGTTGCTGCAGCTTTTGGTTGGCAAAAGAATCTATAAAACGTCACCAGCTGCCGCTCCTGTTTCTACCCATGTTCATCACAAAGAGGGTAAGGAAAGAAGAAAAAAAATTTGTTTACCAGTCTCTTTTTTTTTTACTTGTCATTCTCTTTCCAGGTGTTTCTTACAATAGTTTGCCTTCAATATAGTCAAGGTCTTCCTGCAAAAATGACATGTAGATAGTGAGGTCGTGTGAGTATAATTCCACTGAACTTAGCTTAATTCTGCTAGTTACTGATATGCATTCCAGAGATGGTCGCGTTGGTTAAGAATATATTAACTTTATAGTATTTGGTTTCTATAAATGATTTAGAAAAAGTTGTGTACCAAAAACAAGTACTATTTTTTCATTAAATGTTACATTGTCATCTGTTGTCAGCTATTTATCCCTTTTCTTTACCTTCTAGATGTTCGTGAAGTCCCTCAGACTCAGAGGCACCAACCACCTACTCAATCTGCCGGAACTGTTTTCTTGAACAAGTAAGCATATGATTAGAGTATCCAAGTGAAGAATATGAAATCCTGGTTTTACGAAACTTTAAGCCTTATTTCGTAAGGGTTATCTTATCTGGTGTTTGTTAATGAATGTGTAGGTTTTCAAGAAATGCAGATCTTGTTGCTTCAGGGGTGACTAAGAACGTGTATAAAGTAGGTAACTACATAAAAGGAAGTCTCTCAGATTTTTTGTTCCCATACAGAGGGAGATCAAAGTAAGATGGCTTGTTGAAGATATTGGACGAATGAATAAATATACTGAAGAAGCGGGATTCGGCTTCAAGTCAACCTGGTTTCTGTGCTTGTTTATAACACCTCACTCCACATTTTGAGCAATATAATGTTAGTGCAACTGCTAGTCGTAGTCGTAGATGGCGATTATTATTTGTTCTCTCACTGTTTATTTAGTTGTGGAGGAATGTGACAAGAGGTTCTGTTTTTTTATTTTTTTTGGGTCTGAACAAGAGGTTCTGTTATGTATGATACAATGAAATCCAAATTGTACTATCATGCAAGTGAATTGAATTTAGCTGAGGAGTTGTTGCAAGGAAGGAATGGAGTTTATGTCTCTTCTCTACACATGCGTTCGTCTATGACTGTGAGCGACACGCACGTGTGAACGACATTAATGTACCTGCACACGCACATCTTGATATTCATTTTTTTCTTGCCATATTCGAATTCCAATCCATATTTTTTTTTCATTTTTCTTTTATTTTGGGGTAATGGGGGTTTCTCTGACTAAACCAGTAAGATTAGATGAAGATAATGTATTGGTCTTGTGAGCTGGTTCATTAGAAAAGCCAAAGTTATAAAACTAATTTGCAGCACCCCCATGACCAATGGACCTGCCTGCCTCCAGCTAAAAAGGTCTGAATTATCGTAGAGACGATAATACAACTACTTAATTAAGAAACGTGCTTAAGATAATTAGCAGTTTGTGTTCAATTATTAGTAGTTTGCAAAAATAAAATAGAAAAAGGTGGTGCGCGCTGTTTTGGGCAAAAGCTAATCAAATAGCAGCAAGCAAGCAACCGCGAAATCAAACCCAACTCTTTCTTCTCTTCGCGAATCCCAAGAAGGACACAAGGACAACAAGCCTATCCAGGTTCATCCTCTCTTCTTGGATTTCTCAGCTAACAATAAAACCTTCTCTCTCTACGCTCTTAGCCCCGTTTCGTAGCTTTTCCGATACAGGTACTGGATCGGATTCAGTTTTTGTTTCATTATTGCATTCTCGCGTTTCCTTGCGTTTTCTCAGTAACCAAACGGTTCGCATTTCTCTTCCCTGTGTGAAGATTCTCTCATTGTTCTTCGCGCGATTTGTTTGACCGATCAAAGGAAGGTTTCAGACGCCGATTCAGAATCGATTGATATTTTTGGGGCTTGAGATTTTCAATTAGCATTCGGAAATCAGGTTCTGCGGAAATCGAATTCGAATGGCCGCTGCTGCGGCGTGTAAACGGGTCGGGCAATTAGGAACCAATTCGGGGTTCGGATTGTCCGGTTTCGGAGGTCCTGCTGCTTCGAAAGTTGCGGTGTCTCCGTCTTTGGAGTACAGGCATTTGGATTGCAGACTAACTTCTCAGCTCGTCAAATCTAATGGAAAGCGATTGTTTCTCGTCGACACATTAGCCTTGGTGAGCAATCACATCGCTTTCTCTTGCATTCAATTTTCCAAATTCACTTATCTATACGATGTTATTTGAATTTCTGAAAATGATATGTTTGTGAAAAACTCAAATGGCAAAAGAAATTACAGTGACATTGGAGTAGGATGTAATTGAGCCTAATTATATGCTGCATTTCGTCTAGGTTAGGAGATTAGAGGGCCAAGGGGTGCCCTCAAAGCATGCCGAGGCGATAACAGCTGCCATTACTGAAGTTTTGAACGATAGCTTGGAAAATGTGTCTCATTCATTTGTTTCCAAAGGAGAGATGCAGAAAGTAAGTGATTCTCATTTTTACTGTTACTTTTCTATTCTTGATTACCTCTGTGTATATTGGCGTTCATCAATTCATGAGGAGACAATTTAATTATCCGATTGGGTTTTTTGTGTGCATAATATCAGACCGAGATGATCCAAGAATCCAATTTGTCCAAATTCAAATCCGAAATTCAAAGCGCACAGGTACTTACTAGTTCCTTATGTTAATCACTACGTCGGGCTGGTGGTTTTCTATTTGATTGTTGTTGAATTTTCTTTCTGGTAATGTCTTTGTTGGATTCTTTTGGTAAACCAAGAACTTATGTCGCCTGTTTAACTTCTGTTGATTATGAGCAGCCAGGAATTGTGGATTATATTCTTCTAGTTCCCATCCCAAATCTTATTATTGTCTTGCATGCAAACATTGTGACTGAGTGACATTTCTGGAATACCCTTTGTAATTGGTCACAACTGTTTCTTTTTTCAGGAACAACTTCGAAAATTCCTGCAATATCCCAATAAACTCATCCTGCCCTTCCTCCGAGCTCGTCCCGAAGGCCGCCCGATAAATAATATTCTTCGTCAACGAAAAAACCAGCTCCCCGATATTCACAGCCGAACCGGCCTGAACCGCGACTGTGCGGACCGCCTTGTCCACCTCGTCCCTCACGGCGTCCCAGGACTCGGCTCGCTTCCGGCTGAAGAGCTTCATGACGCAGAGCTTACGCATCTGGCGCCAAAAGGGCCCGTAGTGGGCGAAAGCCATGTCGGCGCGGTCGTAGGTGAGGTAGCTGATGGCGATGGTGGCGGGGCGGTTGGAGAAGATGTTGTCCTGGACTTGGAGGACCTGGCGCGCCACGTCAGGGTTTGAAATGCCGACCATGTGGAGGAACCCCATGCGGAGGTGGAAGATGCCGCCATATTGCTTGGCCAGCTTGGCAAGGCCTCGGTGGGTTATTTGGTCCATCATCAGCATGTTGCCGATGATGGGGAGGCCTGTGGGGCCCGGTGGGTAGGGGGACCGTCTTCGTGACCGGTACAGGAAGACTAGGCCGGAGAGGAAGAGGAATGGGATGATGAAGAAGAGTGTCATGGGTTGTAGGGGTTGCAAGGATTGGAGAAGAGAATCCATGTGGTTTATATTTTTTGGGTGTGTAGAGCAGTTTGGTGTTGTGTGCAACTCAAAATGTTGCTAAGTTGGATGAGATATTATGGGGCCTTTTATATACAAAGTTTGTGTGCTGCTGTTGAATTTTAGTCACGCGATTTAGAATTCAAATGAATTGAATAAATTGAAAAGGGTTTGTCTTTTATTTTTGTTTTAATATTGTTTTATGTTTTGTGGTGTGGATGGAAGTTGGACTATTGTCTCTGAATGAGTAAACGTAAAACTAGAAGACGGTGGGAAAAGACTGGGAGATTTATTGATTTCCAAACTGCTTTGACGTATAAGATACGTACCGACATTCTTTTGTATAAACGGTGATGAGGGATATTATCTGATATATACATGAGTTTAGGTCTATTAGTCAAAGCGGTATAAAGGTATTATTTGCTTTTTTCACTCGATTTCGATGTAAAACAAAATAAAAAACAAACAAAAAAGAGAGTAGGTAGCTTTTACTTTTTTTGAGAAAATTGCTTTAATTTGACTTTGTCTGAAGTAAAGCAATTGAATACTTCTAGAATTAATGAACTCAACAGAGAAAATAAAAATTATGAAGCTTCCATATACGATTGATTTTCCTTTTTCATTTAAAATAGAAGAGGGTTGAAATAATTTGTTTTTAAGGACTTTTTCTATTGAAAAACTATTGAAAAAGGAATACTAAACTCATAATACGAATATTAGAACTTGAAGTCAGTAACTTTTCTAAAAGATTATATTGTAACTTGCAAGAAACGAACTCAACTTTTGCAAATATCATCACACTTAAAAAAGAAGAAGCAAGTTCAATAATAACTGGTGTGCACGAATTTCAACAAATTTTAAATGAATCGTCCTAAAAGTTCTACCATGGCTGCAAGACAAAAAACATATGCTGCAATTGTGGACTTTCCTCAAACTAGCCACATATAACGTTGGGTCCTATCTCCTATCAACCCAAATATAAAATAAATGCATTCACCAAATAGTTTGTTTAATTCACAAAATTAATCAGGAAAAACACTTCATGATGGCATGCCTCATTCATCTTTGTTTTTATATGAATTTTGTTATAAACGGTACTTAGAAAACCATCCATCTTAACCGTAACTTATCATTTAACATTTCTAATTCAAAGAATAGCGACCCAGATAGGTACATATTTCACTAGATAAGTTATTGAATCTTGTATAAATTTGTGTTCCTTAAATTTTAATTCAAATTGATGGTCCTTAGAAAACAAACCGAGCTTGTTTTGGGAGTTTCTATTTGTCTTTAGGGTTAAAGATAGCACAGCCAGCTGCCCACCTAATTCTTTATTTCTTCAATTTGGGTCATGATTCATTAGTATAATATCCAAATAGCAAAGTGTATGGTTGAGGCTTCGCATAGAAATTGGTCAGTGTGTCCATGTGAAAGGTGAAAGATTTGATGCAGGACCTTATGCATATCCAGTAGCTGTCGAGGTTTAGACATTCAAGCCATTGACTGTTCCATTTCACCATTTCAACCTCTTTTTTATTTCCCCAAATGTTTTTATAGTAATTGCCATATGTTAAATGGTTTTGTTTTGTTACATAATCTTTATTAATATACTTCAAAACTAAGATAAGATTACAAGATTAGGAGCCAGGTAGCTAGATTGCGTGTTTTAGCATCATGATAACATCATTATTATTTTAAAAATTAATTCAATGGCTGTGGTCTGTGGCCTGTGGGATTTGATTTGATATTTTCCCACTTGTATCATTTTCATCAAATAATATTCATTCCATGAATCCATTAGCAATATGAATCGCACTGTGGAAAACCTCAGAGCACCCAAAACCATGCCTCATTAGTTGATAAATCATGGCCCATTTTGAGGTGTCTAAATCATTACATGACTGAAATCCCCCAAAATTGAAAAGTTCAGATGTGCTAGTGGACCACCACTTCAGGCCAAAAAAATCATGTGTATTTCCGGCCTATACCTTTCTAAATCAGACATACATCAAGTTAATATGTCTGGACCCCGGATAATGGAAACTAAAAACGACTGCATCACACAATTAATTAAGGGAAGTAACGGTCAACATCTTCAACTGCCACTTTTAAAAATCCGCATTCTTGACCTTGCCATATACGAATACAACACGTATCATGATAACGTGATACAAAATTAAAATTTAATAACGTACGTTATCAATAAAAAAAACAAAACAAATCATATCATAGAAAATCCAACACAATTTAGCCCTTAATAATTGAATAGAATATTAACTACCACGGGACATTTCCAAAAGGGATTGCCATGCATAAATTCTTCTGGTTTACCTAAAATTTAAGATGAACAATAAGTAGAAGTTTGATAATCATTTAAGATATGCTGCGTTTGTCAAAGATGTAGACATGTATATTGTATCATTTGTATTGACCAAAAACCACAAATGATCCTTGTAGTTTACGGTTATTGGTAGCGATCGTGGTTTAATTTTGTCAATTTAATCTGTTATCATTTTTGATCGGACGTTCAGTTTTCATCAATTTGAATAACTTGGCATCCACTTGTACGTCAAAAGCCTACACTGTCTATGAAACGTCACTGAATCAAGAGGCGGTGGTAGCTAGTTTGGCCGGAAAGTTTGAATTGTAGTAGGAGAGAGAGGATAGCCAGAAGATTGATCAGCAAGGGGAACAGTCTTTTTTGACAAAAGATATGTCTTAGTTTTGGCTCACAGTGCACATCATCGAGGGTCGTCACCTTTTTTATTTCATTGAATTAATTCTCTCTCTTTTTTGGACGAAAACAGTGAATTAATTCTCAGTCAAGATTGCAATTTTACTATAACTTTGTTTTGTTTTGTACGTATTTTCCTTCCTTTCTTGATCAGACAGAACATTTTTTTACACGATTTGAACTTCGAAAACAAAACCCAGTGAATTATTTCGCCGACCCTTCTGGAAATTCGTAGAACTTGATAGAAACAGAGAGAGACATTTCATTTTCACCTTCCTGAGACCTAGCAAACAGATTACATATTTGCATTCATATTCCTATCTCACCAAAACGCGATGTCATTGTAGATCATGACTAGTTACCATGCATGCACCCGTTATACACAACGAGCGTCTCACATATGAGTAGCTGCACATGACCATTCTAATCAAGTCACTCAATTTAAAGATAATATGTTTCTAGTTAGCGAGTTGACATATCTTAATAAAGCTTACTTGGATTAGAAGTAAAATGACATTAACCCTGAAAAAAAAAACACCAGTAAGTTTGAAAGGTTCACTCGACATTTCATCTTAACTGACATAGAAATTTTGACTTGAAATACAATTGTTGTAACTTGTATGAAAAAACAAACAAAAAAGTGCTTGTTGAATACTATTTATTTCATAAAAAATTATACCAATTGCAAGTACGTAGCTGTCAGGAATCTAGTAAAGCAGAGGCAGTTGGTACCAGAAAAATATACAAGTGTCCCTGTTACTAGTTTTCATTGTTCATAACATGTTGGTGGGGGAGGAGGAGGAGGACAGGTGCATGAAGCTTCCAAAGTTTTCCAGTTTTTCAAATAAATCAATACAAGGACTTTTTGCTGCTGTTTTGATGATTTTGAGCCAACGAATTACCAAAATCCTCTCATCGAATTAATTGAGACTCCCAGTTTGAGGGAGATGGAAGTAGCTGGGTTTATCACAACGCAAACTGCTTGATGTGTCTTCCTTCCTGCAATCCCACCAGAGATAAGCAATAATAATTAGGTAAGCCATTCACATCATTCTTGTCTTAATCAACACACACTCGCCGTTTCATCTTTGTCAATGATCAAGATGGGCAACACTTGTTTTGATCTTATTGGAATCTGACGAAAACGACATCGTCCATGAAAAGATTTTACCCCAGCAATTGAGTGTGTGAAAAACCAACATAAAACAATGGACTGTCTTTTAAGTGTGGCTGTATTCAACAAAATAAAATAAATAAAAATAAAATCTAGAAGCTTACTTGTGACATGGTTCATCTGGCTATATATAGCCGGACAATTTCTTACTTCATGTTTAGTCATTGTGACCTCACCATCAATCTTCCTCCGTTTCATGTCAATCTTTTTACTTCTCTTGTTGCATAATGCTCTCATCACCATGATGGATTCATTTGCTTGTGCTGGTGCCAAAAGCTGCCAAAAGCTGTTTCATGTTTGAATTTTTTTTAAATTTATTTTTTTTTGCCTTTTTAATCATACAATTGTTGATGAGTGAGTGGTATATACTAGTGGTGGGAACATGTCACATTTCAGATAACATTGTTTTTTTGGATTTTCTCTTTCACTTCCAAAAAACCAAACCCCAAATCTTCAATTTGCTGGAGCACACAATTACAAAACTTGGTGGGAAACACCCACAATTTTATTTCATTAGGGTCTATATATATATAGTTATTCTCTTATTCGAATATTCGCACGTTATTATCGTGCGGATGCATGCCATTGTAAATAAAAAGGAAAGCAGAGAGGGGTAATAGAAAATACATGCCCTAAAACGTACACCTCAAGTTATAGTTTCAAATCATTTTTCTTGTCAGGGACTTTTCCCCTTTTGTGCATGAATTCTGTCAAGGTGAAGAAAATTTAGGCCAAAAGTTTCGGCCATTAAGGGCATGCAGTAACTCTACTGCTGTTGTTGCTTTATGTATGCATGACATGTTGTGGACGCGTTTTTTTTTTTTTTGGGTGTTAATTATTATCTGCAAATAAATGGTGGTTTTTTTTGACATATGAAGTCCATGATCTCGTGTTTGACGTGTTCATATGAGAGTAAGTGCGGTGTTTTGACGACCATGAATTGTTTATTGGGTGGTTTGGCATTTTGCAGAGTTAGGTGTTTGCACAATTCAGATTAATTCCATGCAACAATGCCTATATGGAAATTTCTATGCTAATTCCATCTAATTACCGAACAAAACATGTTTAATTAATTAATCAACAAATTAAGTGATGGTGATTGTTGAAACAGAGAGGTCAAGAACTCTTCTGTGGGTTTTTTTTCTTTTGCTCTTAAATTGGTTTACGTCTCCTATGGAAATTTGAAACGGTCTCAGCAAGATCACCCAAGTTCCACTAACTGAGATTTACCGCAATAAAAAAACACAGAGGGGAGGATGAAGTTCACTTCTTTTATTAGTTTCAGAAAGAAAATTGAGGAGTTTATGTGGAAATTTGAAACAAAATCTTAATATAAAACTACAATTCTTTTGATTTGGTCAGATTGTTTACTTGGGTGAGTTTTCTTTCCCCTAGATGTGAAACCAGATTAACACTTGATGACAGTCTGATAGGTCAAGTAATAAGATAATGGGTTCCGTAAATGGCTAAACAAAAGTGAAACAAACGAGAACATAAGCATATATGTCATATGCAAACATTGTTAGTTTGGGAAGAAAACTTAGGGAAGGGGGTAGAAAGTGAGGACAAAATCTAACATCACCAATTGAACTGGTGAGAATTGTTCAATTTTGAGTCTTTATCTCTTCAACAAGTGATGTGAGGACAAATGTAACAGTTCCTTTACTTTTGCTTTTGTTTATTAGCATCCAAAGTTCGGAGGCCAGAAATCAAGCTCGATCGAACTTAGGGTTTAGGACTCCAAACCCAAGTTTGATGTGTAGTTTTAGGCCTATAATTTGAGGTTCAAATCGTAAAGTTTGAAGCTCAATGTCTAGTTAGGACTTAAGTCTCATATTTAGGGCAGAATTCTAAGTCTCCCATCTCCGAGGTCTAAAGTTTGAAACGTATATACTGAAAAGAAAAAAAAAACAAAATTGTTTTTAAATTAAGCCGCACTATTGATAATCCATTCTAACTTTTCTTAAGGATTATATTAAACTCTTATTGCATTCTCGCGTTTCCTTGCGTTTTCTCAGTAACCAAACGGTTCGCATTTCTCTTCCCTGTGTGAAGATTCTCTCATTGTTCTTCGCGCGATTTGTTTGACCGATCAAAGGAAGGTTTCAGACGCCGATTCAGAATCGATTGATATTTTTGGGGCTTGAGATTTTCAATTAGCATTCGGAAATCAGGTTCTGCGGAAATCGAATTCGAATGGCCGCTGCTGCGGCGTGTAAACGGGTCGGGCAATTAGGAACCAATTCGGGGTTCGGATTGTCCGGTTTTGCTTCGAAAGTTGCGGTGTCTCCGTCTTTGGAGTACAGGCATTTGGATTGCAGACTAACTTCTCAGCTCGTCAAATCTAATGGAAAGCGATTGTTTCTCGTCGACACATTAGCCTTGGTGAGCAATCACATCGCTTTCTCTTGCATTCAATTTTCCAAATTCACTTATCTATACGATGTTATTTGAATTTCTGAAAATGATATGTTTGTGAAAAACTCAAATGGCAAAAGAAATTACAGTGACATTGGAGTAGGATGTAATTGAGCCTAATTATATGCTGCATTTCGTCTAGGTTAGGAGATTAGAGGGCCAAGGGGTGCCCTCAAAGCATGCCGAGGCAATAACAGCTGCCATTACTGAAGTGTTGAACGATAGCTTGGAAAATGTGTCTCATTCATTTGTTTCCAAAGGAGAGATGCAGAAAGTAAGTGATTCTCATTTTTACTGTTACTTTTCTATTCTTGATTACCTCTTCTCGTCCACCCACTTGTGAATTATTTAGTTTATGTGGAAGGAAGCACAGCTGAAAAAAGTCCAAATTGCTTTTGCTCAAAGAAGAAAACCTAAATTCTGTTTATTTTGACTTGTTACTCTCTTAATGAATCAAGCAAGTTTAATTAGCACGAGATAGTACACACTAATCGAATTTGTATTGCAAAGGATCCATTAGTGTTCGAGTCCTAGCATCCGTATAGTGCATGTAAGTTCCTAAAAAAAAATCAAATTTGTATTAATTAATCTGAAGGACAGAGATTCGAACGTGCCTGACAGATAAACAAGTTGCTTATAGAGGACCAACTGGAAGCTTTTCAGTATGCTAATATACAACGAAAGTGGTGGGGGGCTTGGGATACAAACAAAACAAAGATGGGTCTTAGTCTTATAGAGTTAACCAGAGTGATGGAAACAAGAGACTTTGGCTTTTATAAAAAAGGAAAAGCGTGCAGAGGTCACGCAAATAATAAAAAGTGGGGACAAATTGCAAATTGCGCAACAAGTCATCAAATATGATATCTCACTACTACTCTTTATATGTATTATCTCTTTTGCAGCCTTTGGGAGGGGTTAGGGTTTGCTACTTATTGGAAGTTAGTTATAGTGGGAGCTGCATTGCCAATTGGAAGTACAATATATTCTATTCGAAGAGTATAAAGAGGGTTGGGGATGACTTAGGTTTTTGCATTGATCTCAAGTTCATGAGGCAGAAGATGGAGATTAAGGGTAGAGTGTTTGGAGTTTGTTTAGGTCTCGCTGTTACCGCAATAAAAAAACACAGAGGGGAGGATGAAGTTCACTTCTTTTATTAGTTTCAGAAAGAAAATTGAGGAGTTGATGTGGAAATTTGCAACAAAATCTTAATATAAAACTACAATTCTTTTGATTTGGTCAGATTGTTTACTTGGGTGAGTTTTCTTTCCCCTAGATGTGATGTTTGGTTGATGGGCTCGAACATTCTGATGCAATAGATGGTGGCATTAATGCTGGGTTTAATAATGCCACTGCTGCTGCTATGCCCAAGCTGAATGCTTCATCTGATGAAGTTTTAGTCAAAAGCAATAACAATCAAAATGGAGGTGGAAATGGAGGAGGAGGTGGTGGTGGTGGAGGAGGTGGAGGTGGAGGCGGAAATGGTGGTCGAGGTGGGGGAAGTGGTGGCGGAGCAGGTGGTGGGAATGGTGGAGCTAGTGGAGATGGAAGAGGTAAAGGAGAAGGTAGAGGCCACAAAAGAAAAGGAAATGGTAGAGGAAGAGGAAGAGGAAGAGGCTGTGTGTGTGAGAGCATTATGATAAATGATTGTGCCCCAATCATGGCTGATCATAATATTTGGACATTAATATGTTTAGTAGTGTTCATGTACCTAAAGTATGATGCCTCCATTTTCTGGGTGGCTGTTGCATGGTGTGGTGTGCTTCTGATTGTGGATCTTACCAGCAACTATAAGCCAAACATTTAGGATTTCAGTCATACATTTGGTTACTTTGGTTGGCATTTCAGTCTCCTAATCTTCTACATTTGATTTTCTGGGCATGAATTTACTAAACTATTCTATGAAGACCATAATTCTCATTTCATAGGCAGCATATGGGAGATGGAATGAAATTAAGGAACCCATTTGGAACCAATTTTAGATTAAATTGAAATTTTGTCAATATATTGGAAAGGATTTATTAGTTTTTTCGATCATATGTTTCAAAGGTTGACAGCCATGTCTTTATCTCTCTTTAACTTTCTTGCCATATTTACCAATATGGATATAATTGATCACAAGAAGGATAGTTATTGAGTTATCTTTTCAAAGTGACCTTGATTTGTTGGCTAATTTGTTTAAAAATTCCTGCAAGACTCTAAAGAGGCTGAACTCTTATGTTATCTAAAGAATCCTTGCAATGAAAAATAAGGATTTCTTAGTTCCTGGGCTAGCTTCTATTGGTAATTTCATTGAAAAATATGTGATGCAGGGACACCATTTTTCTTCGTTGCAACACGAGACTGAAAAACTTAGGAATGATATAGAGAAGATGCGTAGCGAATTGAGGTCTGATTTACGGAGTTACTTTACTGTCGTTTTCTGTCTGTTTCCTTGTCAGTATGTGTTGGCTTTTTCATAATGATCTTCAAGATGCAAATATTTTCATTGTGATGCAGGTATGAAATCGACAAAGTTACTGCAGGGCAGCGGTTGGACTTGAATCTTGAAAGGGGGTAAATGAATACATTAAAACTTTTTATCCTCTGAGCATCTCAGGAACCTCTGTTTCAGTCACGATATTCACCCTCCTTGTTCATTCTTATGGTTATCGAGTGTAGGAGGATACGGGAAGAGCTATCAAATCAGAATGCAGAAACCAATAACCTTACTAACAAACTTGATCGGGTGAGAATTGGAGCTAATACTTTTCCAATTGAACTAGGAGTGGATGATTTCTTATACTAACTATTACTTGTATATTATTACCAGGAAATTCATGCTCTAAGGGCACAGGTGGAAGCAGCAAAATATGATGTCATAAAATACTGCATAGGTACTCTTGTTTCCATTTCTGCTGTTGGTCTTGCTGTGCTTCGTATCTTGATGTAAACGTTTTTTTATAGCTGACGATGACAAAACCCAAAAGGGGAAAAGGTTCATTCTTTTCAAGCTGTTGTATTTTTATTTTCAATAAAGGTTCATTCTTTTCAAGCTGTTGTATTTTTATTTTCAATTTTTTTGGGTTACAAGCTGTTGTATTTTTAAGAAATATGATAAAGATGTGAAAGATTAGGACATTGTAAGTGGGGCCTAGCCCAAGGAAGAATTCAATTACGCAAACCAAATATTCATCTTGTTAGAATTCAATTAAGTCCTCTTTGCCTCTGTCTTTGTCTCTCTCTGTCTCTCTCATGTGCCAATATGATGCAAGTCCAACGTCAATAAATGATGGGTAAGGAAGTTCATGGGCTGGGTTTGGCTGGGTCTAATATCTATTAATAATTTTGTTTCTTTTCAAAAAATATTAAAAAAAAACATCCAATAATAGCTCTGCAACTAATCAATGGGCTATTAAAGAACTCTCATTATAACTCCTAATTATTCAACACTAGATGAACGGGTCAAGTGGACAACTTGTAACCCTTATTTTGTGACTGAAAATCTTTGGGAGTTAAACTCAAGTGGGGTGAGGGAAACCAGATTAACACTTGATGACAGTCTGATAGGTCAAGTAATAAGATAATGGGTTCCGTAAATGGCTAAACAAAAGTGAAACAAACGAGAACATAAGCATATATGTCATATGCAAACATTGTTAGTTTGGGAAGAAAACTTAGGGAAGGGGGTAGAAAGTGAGGACAAAATCTAACATCACCAATTGAACTGGTGAGAATTGTTCAATTTTGAGTCTTTATCTCTTCAAGAAGTGATGTGAGGACAAATGTAACAGTTCCTTTACTTTTGCTTTTGTTTATTAGCATCCAAAGTTCGGAGGCCAGAAATCAAGCTCGATCGAACTTAGGGTTTAGGACTCCAAACCCAAGTTTGATGTGTAGTTTTAGGCCTATAATTTGAGGTTCAAATCGTAAAGTTTGAAGCTCAATGTCTAGTTAGGACTTAAGTCTCATATTTAGGGCAGAATTCTAAGTCTCCCATCTCCGAGGTCTAAAGTTTGAAACGTATATACTGAAAAGAAAAAAAAAACAAAATTGTTTTTAAATTAAGCCGCACTATTGATAATCCATTCTAACTTTTCTTAAGGATTATATTAAACTCGCATCTTCAAAACTTTATTTGAAAATAACCTACTTATTTACTATGTCCTATCCTAGTTTCACCATGAGGTGTACTGTGTATGTATTGGGCTGTCTCATGCTGACCACAAAACTACTTAAATTGCTTTGGGCTACCAGAACATTGGACCAGGCCCTTTAACTTTCTACCGATCAACAACTGTTCGAATTCAAATTCAGTCCACCATATCTACATCCTGGGGTGATCCAAAGTTTGATCTCAAAACTCATCAGTCTAATCTGAATGCTGCGTATACACGCAACGCAACTACAGAGACCTTAAAAATAAAAAACAAAACCAGATAATATATTTGGATGGAAATAGGTTGGTGGGTTTGGACTTGATTGGATGGGGTAGTATTCAATCCCACTCCATTTCCCAAACGCAAGGTAAACTTGTAAGCACAGTGGGGTCCTGTTCAAGCACCAAGCCACCAACTTTACAAAAAGGGACAGGGATGGATATATATAATATACAAATATCCCACTGAATCTGATTGGATTTGCATATTGGTGGCCCATATGTCTTCTATTGTCCGTATCCCACGTTTGTTGAAGATGGGAAATCTCAGATGGAGCCTCCCATGCCCAGTCTCATTATTCTACCCAAAGAAAACACAAGAAAGGCCTCACGTCCTCCTCACTTGTCCTCCTCACTTGTACTCACTGCACACCTAAACTCAATATATTTTACATCTCTCTC